CTTCGCCACATCTGCACGGTAGACACCTCTCCAGCTTCCTACTTTGGCAACTGCTTTTGTTTGCCAGGCGACATCATTTATGAATCTTAATGCCAAGCAGGCATTGTGGGATTGGAATTGGGTTAAAAAATAAATGCAAATACAAAAGGAGCCCTCCAAGGAGTCTGTAATCCATCCGAGGCTCTGACGATAGCCACAAGACCCGACATATTTGATGTCTGAGGCCAGTTGCTGAAGCGCACGTGTGCCCTTTCTCATCCCTAACCAGGTCACCTAGGCTTCTACTCCTCTATGCCCAGGGAGTGGCTTCGCCATGTGTGGGTGCTGGGCATTTCTTGGCAAGTTTAGTCAGTGCACATGGGACAGAAACTAGGCAGTGAATGAGGGCAGCAAACCATGACCAAATACATAAATAAAATAATGAATTCATAGCAGGAGGGGGAGCTAGGGAGGGATAGCATGGGGAGAAATGCCAAATGTGGGTGAAGAGGAGGAAGGCAGCAAAACACACTGCCACGTGTGTACCTATGCAACTATCTTGCATGTTCTGCACATGTACCCCAAATCCTAAAATGCAATTAAAAAAATAAATAAAATAATGAAATTCTACCAATCAAAACAGAGCGAAGTACAATAAAGGGATAGACAGAATTCAGGATGGTGACGATGGGAGGAATTTGGAATCCCCAAAAATAAAAATTTACCACGGATGAGAAATCTGGTTGTGGGACAGAATAAAGAGAAGGACTTGTGGAAGTCCCCACTTCCTTGTCTCTAAAATAAACACTGATGGCTGCAGAGGGTCTGGACTCAGAGGCAGGGCCTCTCCCATGAGACCAGCTTTGCAGCTGATTCATATTCAGGGCTGGCCTATGCACTCCTGCAGACTGCATCCTAAGGAGCACAACTTTCCAGAGAAAGGTTTTTTTTTTTCTTTTTAAAATAATTGGTACAAAGTTGCCATATGGAATTGTGGCAACTCTATTCAGCAGATTCAATTGTTCATCTCCAGCCTTTCCATGTTTCTTGGGAATGGCTTTTATACCCATCTGCAATTCCTCATCCATTTCTACAAGCCCTTCACTTCAAGTCTCTGTTTGTACAACACTTAGAAAATGTCTCTGACTGTGTGTCCTCTACTCTATGGTCTATACTATAAAAATATAAAACAAACGAAGAAGTGAGAACTTTAAGAGCCCAGGGTAGGGTGGCTGCCCCAGGAATGCTAGCTGCTGCCTTTCAAAAGCCTTCCCTGGGTGGTTTTGTAGGATTAGATCTCTGGTTCCAACAGGATACCCAAAATAGATTTCTATCATCAGAGACCCATGGGACTTTAGTTTAATATCAGAATGCCAGTTTCATAATTTGAAATAATTGATAGAGTTGGTCCATGTATCAGAAACCCTACATCAACATCAATAAATCACCCTCAGGACTACTCTCACAGCCAATGGTTGTGTCACTTAAGGTGAAACTCCTCTTCTTGCCTGAGACAGCTCTGTGGACCCTCGGTGTCCCCAGGGAATACATTTTGAATGACAACGATCCAGTCTAAGCTTCGTATGTCACAGATCACACACCTGTGTAAGGTGTGAAGTAGGACAAACAAGAGGACACTCATTGTCCCCAGTTTCAGAGAGCGATGGATTATGGCTCCATCTGACATCATTATATACCAGAAGGATATTATCTATTATGAAAACAGATAAAAGGCAGTGTTTTACAATGAAGGTAAACTTTTAAAGTTTTATTTTGGTTGGACCTACTACTCAGAAAACAGTAGTTGCTTATTAAATGCTTATTCACTAACATATTTATTCCAATTTGGCCCAAAGATACTCTGGCTTTTCTTTCCTGCCAATCACTTTGCATGTATCAATATCGGTCAATATAGTTGGTGTCTGCCATAACGAGACCACCTAAAATAATTAAATGTAAGTTCATTAACTGTTTTGAGCTTCACTGAGAACACCTGGATTTGGGTTGCAACTACACACTCTCTGTGTGTGAAAACAAATTACTAAAAGATTTAAAGACTCACTTTTTAATTCACAAATGAGAGTAAAAGGAACTATTTCCCAAGATGTGGAATTACCAAGACTGTAAAGTTAAAAGGTATCTAAGTGTATGCTTTTGTAAATATTAAGGGATACACAAATATTGTTTGTGCCAATTTTTAAAAACATAAGCGTTTTTATTAAGCTATATATTTTACTGTCGGTTGACGTTTTCTAATCTACTCATGTACATACATTAATTATGGATCTGAAACATTTAAATACTAATGTTTCCTTAAGTAATGCAATTAACTAGCAAGAGGCAATTACAAAAGTCTTTTGAAAATAGCTGAAAGTGTCTTTACACAGTCTTAAGCGTTAAAAATTTGCTTAAAATATTTTATATAACAGGTCATCATTTCTGATACATCTTTTTGGGATAAATATTAGATTCAGGTATTTGATCATATTGAGGAGGTGGGGATTTCTTAAGCATAACTACTTGTATTTAAACCTAAGAATTTAATGTGAGGTTAATACTATTTTGATTATATAGCAATCAGCACCACCAATTTTCTATTACACATATATTTTCCCATCAGTCAGTATGGTCCAGCTCTGAGATAATCTTGCGTGGAAGACCTGAGGAGTACCTGGGTTTTGTAGGTAGAGCCAAAGAGGTGAAACAGGCAGAACAAGAAAATGACTCCTGCCCCCTCATAATAGCGGCTAACTGCCAATCCTCGCCAATGTTTCTCCTATTTATAGAACATTTGTGCTACTATGTAATCAAAAATGTCCTAGAGGTGGAAAGTGCCCATAAACAGATGAACAGATTCAAGCTTTTACAAAGTTACTCAGTGAAGTGACAGTGACAGCAAAACCTCCTCTAAGTGATACCAGATACCAGGGAGCAACAGGGACCCCAGGTATCCACATGGGGTCCAGGCGGGGCTGAGCCTCATCTGCTGACGCAGGCCTTCTGGGTGAGGGAGGGTGGACATAAGCATGGACAAACTGACAACCTCTAGTTTCTATCCAGTCACGTGGCTCTGGAGCACATAGACTTGGCTATCTGGACAACAAAAGAGGTTTCAGAATGATGGAAATAGTTCAGTACCCACACTGATTCCAAGCACCTGAAATTCCACTGTGTGTAAATCTTCTTCTGGATACTGTGTGTATCATCATGGGAACAAGAGACCAAGGGTTTATAAATGAGAAATCATTGCAATGGGAAGGAGTTGGAGAAAGATGGGAAACAGTTACTAGGGATGAAAAAGTAATGAGAAAGAAACTACAGGCTGAGCATGGTAAGTTTTCTATGAAGTGGCCGTGGGAAGGAACATGGTGAGCTTAGGAAGCTCTCATCTTGTAGCAATGTTGAGGGTGAGATCATAGGAGAGGGGGAGGGACGCAGGCCAATGTTTTCTGTTCTTTGCCCAGCGAGCCATAGCAGGGGCACACTTTGTAAGATAAGACAACAAAAATGTGTTCAGTGGCAAGAGAACTATAAGAACAACACAGATGTATGGGAACTTCCCATTAGTTACACAAAATCCAAGTTCCCTACAGGTTTTTCCAACAGTTTTTCCCCTCAAGTATCCTCTAAGATCAGTGTAGGGGCAAGGAAGTGGGGATGAAGACACCCAAGTAGGAAAACAAAATACAGTGAACATCTCGACAGGGACATGAAGTGGAAATGACAATCACAATGGCGTGCATCCCATCTGCCGGCCAAAGGGTTTTACAGGAGGCCTTGGAGACATTTCTAAGAGAAATCCTGGAAAGCAAAATTCCAGTAGTAGAGGTAGATCTTATAACAGCAATTGTTACTAATTTATCATGCACAAATATTAATTCACAGGGTTTCTATTTACTCAGTCTTTTCAATGGTATTATCACAAAAGTCGAAAACTGGCTTTCTCATGATATCAGCCACTCTCATTCTATTTTTTGCCCAATGTCTTACAATTCTTCACCTGAGATTTTTCCTCCTAAGAGGGATTTGAGGTGACTGATCTTCCTCTTAGTCACCTGGATTAGCTCTGGGCCTGTGGTATGATTATTATATTTTCCAGGCCCTTTTTTTTCGAAAGGTATCCATCACTAACATACCTTTATGCTCAAAAATCCAAAACTCTTAAATTTCTAATGTCATGGTGTTCAGCATCAAATAGTTTTTAAATTGATCAGATAAGTGAGGGATTTGACAATTTTATACACTTTATTTTATTTAATTAGTTATTAACACTAAGTAGCTTTTCTTTTTTCACTTCAGAACTAAAAATACTAAAAATGGCAGTTACCATATTGCAGATTCCTACTTTTGAAACACAGCATCTCCTTTATTTCTCTGTTTTTTTGTCTTCTTCACTTACATCTTTAAAAACATATTCCACATTGACTTGTTCATACACACAATGGGGAGCACCGAAAACTGGGAGCTACAGGTTCAATCTTGGACCAACTTTTAAAACCAGTATATTGGGGAAGTATTCAAAGTACTCCTCTTAGTTCTCTCATCTCAAAAATTAGTAGTGAAAAGAAAATAATTTACTACATAGAGTTGTTATGTGTGTGTGTGCACTTATACATATATATGATTGTGTGTGTGTGTGTGTGTGTGTGTGTGTGTGTGTTTCAAAGTCTATTATCTCTGGTTATATCAAACATTCCTTCTAAATCCTTCATATATAAGCACAAGAATTTTTATCAGTGTATACCATATCACAATTAATGTATTTGAGCCCATCAGATCTCAAATGTTTTAGGAGGTTTTCCTTTTGGGTCCACCTATTTTGTTATTAAAATGAATATTTCCAATTAGATAAATTTCAAGCTATTGGTAATGTAAACCAGTCAACAGAGTACAGAATTAAACTGTAATCCAAAACGCAATAGGCAGCCAGAAAAGAAATCAGGATTTAAAACTTATCATATAAGCCAAGTATCAGATGCGTCCTGACGAAACAGAAGGTGATTAAGTCGTACACTACTTACTGGTATAGGTGAGCTGGAAACCTTGGTCGGTGTCAGATCCGTTGGTGTTAAACTCTAGCCACAGGTGATTGGATGTGCTGTTTAGGATCAGCCCCAGAAGTTCATTTTTAGTGAAGGTGCCCAGTGGACGTGAGGAACTGTCTTTTCCATCATATACCTGATAAAAATTCACAGCATGAGTCCCTCTATGTTGTAATTCGATTCTTATGTTAGCAATGTTAATAAGAAATCAAAATCTTCAAAGACGCGTTTTTATATGGTACTTTAGAAAGGCATACAGTGTATAGAAAGATAAATGGATGACTTAGTGCTAAATCATATTTGTTCTTTAAGTTTTATCTTTACCATTAACACAGGAGACAAACGATTCCATTCTTGCTCAGATCATTTTATATTCATTAGTTTAAGAGCTCTTTCTGTGTTTATTTAAAATTAAATAAATATTTCTTTACATTTCCAGGTTTCATTATCTACCTTTATATTCCCTTTCTCCTATTTCAGTTATAAAAGTAAAAAGGGTTTATAATATTTTAGTCTCAAGTATCTCCTCTGAACTTTCAAATAAGTCTAACAGCAAACCATTCCCTTCTATCTGAATGCATTAAAGGACAATACGATGTGCCAAAATCTTGTCGAATTTTGTAGTCTTCAAACATGAGATGACTTTCATTCTGAATGTGTAATAACAGAGGTATGTCATCACGCAATGAGAAGTGTGATCTTGCTCAAAGTCTTCTGTCTGCGACATTATATTCCCAAGCAGTTGTAAAACAAGAGTAGATATAATAAGTACATAGAAGATAAAGAAGACAGGGCTTGGTTTTGACCAGTCAGGAAAGGGAAGTTCCAGTCATGCATTGCCAACTTTGGGGAGACAGGTCACACAGTGGGGAACAATGCAGTGTCACCTTCACATTCCGAATGAGGATCGAGTCAAAGTGTTTCAGGACCCATGCTGTTTCTGCCAATGCCACTAGGCTCAGGTACAGCCCTGACTTTCTAGCAGAAAAAATACCTAATGCATGTGGGGCTTACAACCTAGATGACGGGTTGACAGGTGCAGTGAACCACCATGGCACATGAATACCTATGTAACAAACCTGCACGTTCTGCACATGTATCTCAGAACTTAAAGTAAAATAAAATAATAAAATAACCTAAAATAAAAAATGAATGCTGCAGACCTCGCAGCCCAGTAACACAAGAACACGAGGTGGGCAAGGCTAATCCACCTTTCTCCCTCCCTCACTATCAGGGTGCCACAGGAAGAAACATTTATTATATTATATTGGAAAATGTTCAGTTTGTGTTGATAGAAAAGTGGTACCCTAACTAAATAAAAGTAAAGAGTCCTAGTAGACTCTTCCAATGTGCTTATTTTCCCCACTTCTGTCCTCTTTATATAGATTAATTCTTCTTTTATCGTCTCTCTTTCAATCAACATATAAACCCAGGGGTAATGTGTTTAATTTCCCCATTTCTTTCCTCTTTATATAGATTAATTCTTCTTTTATTGTCTCTCTTTCCATCAACATATAAACCCAGGGATGTACACAGACACGTATACTCAGAAAAGGAGAAAATGCATTTAGAAAAGTTAATTTTGTGGGTTATTTTATTACATTTGAATATGGACATGCTAGTGGGGTAGAATCAGGTACCCTCTAATCTCCTTACTAAAAGACTATTGCCACAGGTCATTGTTTAAAAACCATTATTTGGTTTATTCTGTGTTTTTCTTAGATGAAGCCAGGGGTCTGAGACTCAAGAGAGTAAATGGTTTTAAGTCCAGAGGAGTCTCGGTTAAATGGAAAATGTGCAGGTCTCCCCAGGAAGGCCTTGGGCTACCCCACATACCACGTAATTGTCTATAATTCACAGAAATGCATGAAGATGGGGAGAAACTAAAGAACGCAGCAGTCAGTTGAGCCCCAGCTCTGTCCGGATACACTGTGAGCTCATTGCTCCACTGAATCCGGCTCCTCCTGAGGATCTGACCGAGCGCGCTATGGATCCTTCAGGGACAGCGTTGGCTCCCAGTGGCTTCACGGATAGAAGCACTAAAAATGAACAGCCCAACAGCTCAGTTGGAAGACCCTCCAGACAGTCATTCTGCCTTCCTTCCCCACGTCATCAGGAATTACGCTGGGCCCAGCCACAGATAACCTCAAAGAAGGGCCATGCCATTGACTAACATGGAGCATCCTCCTGTCAGCCTCTACAGTTACAATCTGGGTTCAAGTTTTGCATTGATCACACAAACCCGGATAGGAGTGGAAGTCAGAAGACTTGACTTCTGACTCCAGCTGAACGAAGAACAGGCTACAATTGTTCTGAACACATTTCCTAGTTCTATTTTCTCACCTATAAGTAGCTAGATTCAAAGGGTTCTTTTCGGTTATTAGAGAAAGCCGTCTGAATTCATCTGTTTAATACAAGGCTGTAGCTATTTGCACTACAAACCCTTCTCAGAGTCTGGCATTTAATCAATGTCGTATACTCTAAGGGATGCTGCTGGGTTAGCAGATAATCTCGGATCAGAAGACATCTCACAGAATGCTAGTGCAACCACACGGCGAGTTCCGGGGAAATCTCTTCCGGTTTTACAAAACTATACCCGGCAGATTTACTTCCAAAATTAATTGCGTTTTCCATTATATATTCCTTTCATGGCATGTTTCTGAGAGCTCAATTTCTCTAACATGATTTTTGCACATGAAGCCAGAAAACAAGGTTATGTGTGCGGGGGGGCACGTTGATAACATTTTTGTCTTTATTATTACATCACAGTATGTGTGAAGAATCAGGCTCAAAATTTAAGATAATTTTACTAGAACATTTGGAACAGACATTTATTAGCATATTTACCAAAATACATGCCTGCAAAACACATAGGTGTTAAATATGATTGACAGCGTCTCTGTAATTAAATGTGAGAAGCAGGTTTTTTAAAAAAACTTTTTGTTATAATCAACTTTAAATGGCATGCAATCACAAATGAACATGATTTTCTTCCTTCCATTCCAACAATATTTATCCTTTTATATTTTATGCAATATCTCTAATCACTCACCTGCACTAACGTATAGTTAAGGCTTGTTTAAAAGTTCGCCTTAAAGGCTTACTGACTTCTGAATTTGAGGTTATTAAATAATTCAGAAAATGCTTACTTGTAACATAGCTATTTTTTTTAGATTAGTAAGAATGTGCTAGTTTCCTGCCTAAAAACCGCGTCTTAATTACAATCCCTCATACTGCCAGCATGAGCTTTCAAAAGACTATTAAAATGAAAGAACAACTAGAATAAAACCACTCCACTAAATTATGACATTGAAATACAGTCAAACACGGACTAAGGAGGAAGTGGAGTCCTTTAATCTATAAGCCTCTCCTGACCTGTGCACATAACTTCTAATGAGGTCAGGTGGAGCCCGGCAGGGGCTCCCTTCCAGCCATTCTGCAAAGGGAGGACAAACAGGCTTTTCTTGTGCAGCTGGCGTTCTGCATCGTCTCTTAATGCTCACAGTTCAAAGTGAGCTGACTCTACTGGATCTGAAATGCATCACTATGTGCATCTAGGTAGATGTAAATTAACAGAAAAACTCTAGAATTTTAAAAAGGGAATCAAAGAGCCAGGTGCCCCTTTCTTGCCATAAACCAGGCTTCTGACCAGCTAAATTGCTCACCTCACTGAAATAAGCAGGTGATTAGACTGATGATTTATAGCAGGGGTGTCCAATCTTTTGGCTTCCCTGTACCATGCTGAAAGAATTGTCTTGGGCCACACATAAAACACACTAACACCAACAATAGCTGATGAGCTATAATTAAATGACAAAAACTTCTCAAAATGTTTTAAGTACATTTAGAAATTTGTGTTGGGCCACATTCAAAGCTGAGCTGGGCCGCATGTGGCCCGTACAGTGCGGGTTGGACAAGCTTGCTTTACAGCATTAGCTCTTGTTGCTTAAAGCTTTTCCCTTTCAGTGCCCCGAGGCTACGCTGCCCATTCTCCAGCCCCTAGATCACGGAAGGTTCCCAATTTATTGAAATACTTAGAGGAGAGGTGAAAATTGTATCAGAAGCTGAGGAATTAAGGGGCATTTCTAGTTGGAGCTGGGGTTTTGTAAATCAAGGCAGGACCTGGCCCTGGAATCAATATTGAGATTCTGTCTTGTCCTGGCTGGCTTCTCCTCATCAGCCCTGGCTGTGATCTGACCACAGTGGCTGGATTTGGTCCATTCTCACTTCAGAACCTTTTCAGCTTTCCACATTATAACCACATTGAAAAATCAAGATTAACTACAGAAAGGGTCGGTTTGGAATCCTGAAAGTTTTAATAATTACGGTTATGTTCTAGACACAATCCTAGAAACATCCACTTATATTATTGTGTTAAATCCTTCAAAGCATCCAAAAACGTGGGTGCAATTGCATTTTCTTACACATAAGGAAGCTAACAATCTGAAGTATTAAATAAATTAATACCACAGGGTGCTGGACTAATAAATGTTAGATCTAGGTTTACTCACAAAGTTATTTCTAAGTCCACATATACAGTTCTAAGCGAAGTGACATTACACCTTCTCAAACTCATTGTGTAAATAAATAATTTATAAAAATATATTAACATGTGCATGTACCAACGTAGAAAACAGACAACATATTTTTTGAGAAGAAAAGTTGGAGTCAGCATGTGGGAGATTCTTTTTACCTTTAGTGTATCTCCTTCAAACAGCTGGAAGCTTCGTGCTCTGAGGTGGATGCCCTTGCCGGCTTCGGTTTCTATTTCATAGATACACTCATGGTTATTATCGTAATTGGATGGAAAATTTGGAGACAGTAATGTTCCTTCATTTCCTTTGACACTTGCTCCACATTCAGCTAAAATAAATAGGACATTAAAGAAAGAGGATTCAAAAGTGGAATTACTGTTTTTATCAGATCAAAAACTTCAAAATTATGATAGCCTCCTCTTCTATCAATGTATGTCTGTTAATAATATATTATTTTAAAATAGATCAGTGATTTTTTTCATTGCTTTACCAACTGGGCAAAAAAGACACCTTGCTTAGCTCATTTTCAAGACTGTCTTATTTATTGTAACAGAATGACCTCTGACTATGTGGAAGCAGCATGCTATCGTACAGAGAGTTCTAGAATAAAAAAAGATGTGCTCCAGCACCATGACTAGCTGGCTGTGTCATTGGGTTGTCACAGCTCCTCTCCCAACACCCTGTTCCTGCCTCATGAAATGTCCCCACCAATTCCCTCGCGCCCATTCTACCATTTCCCACGCGCCCATTCTACCATTTCCCATGCGCCCGTTCTACCATTTCCCATGCGCCCGTTCTACCATTGTTCCTCTGCAGTTTTCCTGCATTGAAATCTCGTGTCAACTGGGCTGCATTCAAAGGGGAATCTAATGATAGACCAAACCATTGAGTCATCTTCAGGATGTCACAGCCCTGAACACCTTAGCATTGTCTTAGGATGGAGGAACATTCAATGGCAGTAAATATATGCTTTCCCCCTTTTCCCAGTGAAGGAAAAGGGTAGTTGACTTCTAGATCTAAATTTATATCAAACAAAATTCCTCTTAAAAAGGTCAAAGTGAAAATACATACAACTCTCTACTTTCTGTCAACTTGGAAAAAGTCACTTAACCTTTCAGCACCTGTTTCACTGTGAAAACAGTTTAGATCAAAATGTTTTTTCCCAAGATCACACGACTGGTACAGATTAATTATTGATGTAATATAAACCGTTAAGTGCTCAGAAAGGGAATATCAGCTTTTTTTAAAAAAAAAATCCTAAATAACTCTTAAGTGTACTTTAAAAGCTCCAAAATTCTGAGTCCAACATGATCGCAAAATAATAAAGTGTCTGCACAGGCGAGTGCATACATATAGACACACACACACACACACACAGAGGTTTGTGTATGCCCAAGAGAGCTCCACAGGAGTCTGTACCAATGATTTTACCGACTACTCTATGTGCCCAGCACGCTGATGTAAACATCCCACAGAAGCCTACTCATATGAAGTATAACTGTCGGGTTGGAAACTGAGCATCAGCTAAATGCTATGTACGTACTGAGAGTGGAGGAGGAGGATGCACAATGTTCCTTTTCCAGCGGGTTGCTCAAGGTATCGCAGAATTTTGCAGATGACTTCTGCATGCCCACTGCAAAGATGCTGATTCTCTCATACCCCTCCTCCCTTTTTGACAATGAACACAATCAGCTACATCACTGGCCATGATACCCTAATCCACTTGCCAGCAGGAAGTTGCTAGAGAGCCTTGATTGCCTCCAAGTGATTTGTGTACAATGCATCTCAGAATGTCTCCATGTGGAAGGGTGTAGGGAGAAAGTCAGAGGAAAACACTGAACAACCTGGGTTCACTTCTCCCTTATCTCCTTAAATAAATGCATAAAGGCAGGCTTCGAATGGGGGTCTTGGGGTGCAAGTGCTGAGGGAGAAGTGCAAGCAGCTGGTGACTCAAAGATGCCACTGAGAATTTGTGATAATTTATGATCATTTTAAGAAATTATAGTAATATAATTATATAATTATAGTTATGTATTTGTATACTTTAAAAATCCTTTTAAAATGTAAATATAGGATATATATATATATATATACACATACACACACACACACACACACCCATGAATTGGGGGTGTGTGTGTGTGTGTATGTATATATGATTTACATATTATATATATCATATATATACACATTATATATGATTTACATATTATATATAAATCATATATACATATAATGTATATATATGTATAGATGTCATATATATAAATCACATACATATACACCCCATTTATATATATGTGTATGTATAAAAAATCATTTCAAAAGGGAAATAGATACATATTTTATACACACACACACACACCCCCCCTCATGAATAGGGGTGTGTGTGTGTGTGTGTGTGTGTGTATAATCATTTTAAAAGAGCAGTATATATACACATATATATTTTAAATATATAAAACATGGAGAGAAAAGCAAGTGATGTGTTTCTCACGCTCCATATCTGGCCATCCCTACTCCAGCCCACGCCTTGCTGGTGTCTGAACAGTGCTCCTTCTCTGTTAGCAATTTGATGATCTGCAGACAGTGTAGGGCTGAAGAAAAATGGCTTTACATCTTAAACTCGACAACATGCTATTCAGATAAGTAATCTCCTTGGAAAAAGTAATAATGTATGGATCCTGCGTGTCTTTATTGGATGCTCTTTTATTTCTGTTTTTTCCTTTCTGAAGAAACAGTGTTTTTCACATGAAAGACAAAATAAATGAAAATAAAGTTAAAACAGCCAAGTCGTGCGTCCTCCTGTGGCTGCCCCATGGAGGGAATAGTTGGGGTTTCCAGTTATAAAACGTGCTGTCCTTAAAGAGAATAAAAGAAAGTCACTGACTGCTCACAACCAGAAAATGAAGCCTCATCACAAATATTAGGGAATATTTAAAATGGAACTTAACAAAAATCAACAAAGGAAACCATTCAAAATTAAACCCTTTGTTAGGTTTATAAGTTTAAACACAATGAATGCAATAGAAGATATACTGCCATAGTGGCAAATGAATTTTTTTCAGTCTGAGGAAAACTATCAGAGGAACCTTCTTTTACTGCTGTGGTAGCTGAAATTATGTGTGTTGTGGTTTACCATACATTTGAATATATCAAGTGCATTTCTGCAGTTAGTGCATTGGAGTCCTGTGAAGGGCATGCAGTTGTGGGCCACATATTCTTACCAGTGGGCTGAAGCTGGAAGGGATAATGAGGGGCGTGACCTCTGGTCACCCACTGGGCACCAGGAGATGATGCTGTTCTTCTTACCTGACGAAAGGAGGCCAAGAGGCTGCAGGGAGGGTTGTGGGAGATGGATAACTGATTGAATATGGTGGCAAGTCCACATATCTTGACCCCAAAAGGAGGGATGACAGCTTTGTCCCTCTCTAGAGTTACTAGAAAATGAGAATTTCCTCCAAGATGTCCCAGTGTGTCTTTAAGGAGGCATTCCATGACAAAAGCAAAACCAAGCAGACCAAGTCTAGTTTCCTCTGTGAACGAGCCAATCCCAGTATCTCTGAACAGGAAGGGCTTTCTCATGGGGAGCTGGGACTTCTCTCTACACCTCCTAGGGGGATCTGTGTTTGCTGTGGGCAGGTTTTCTTCCTTGGTTCTAGTTATGGCTGAATGCACTTTCTTTGGTCTCACACCACCCTGCTTATGTATGTCTGTGTTATAATATCTACAGTAACCCTGCGACAGGACAATAAACCTCATTTACAGATGAGGAAACTGAAGCATAGAATAGTTTACAAACCAGTGTCTTTCCCAAGGCCACCCAACTAGTATGGATTAATTATTGATGTGATATAAACTGTTAAGTGCTCATAAAAGCAATAGCACTTTTTAAAAATATCGTAAAATAACATTTATATGCACTTTAAAATTAATAATTCACACTACTGTTCATTATTAACAATAACGAAACTGGAGTAATACAAGTTTAAATGTTCAAGAAGAAAGTGTGTTTTTAAGGACTTATTCTAAACAGGTCCCAAATTAATTACAGCTGATATTTGTTACATCAGTATTTAGGACATTAACTATACAATCATTTCTCATAATACATAAAAAAAGATGGGAGAAAAAAGAAAAATTCAGCATGTGCATCCATGTGGAGAAAAAAATTTAAACCAAAATAAATAATTTTACATATGTTTGTATTAGACTCCAGATTTTTTTAAAGGACATATATAATAAATGGTAGTAACTAAAGTCAAGTCCTCACGACATAATAACATCTGTGCAAAATTAACCATCCCATGGTAACTGATGATCCTGAATAGACAGACAATGCTGTTGCTTTACCTTTTAGAAAAAATTAAGGGAAAAACAACTCACCAGCCTTGTAGCACTTCCCAAATCCCACTCTATATTTGCAGTTTGAAAGTAAAATCTTCTAGTAGTATCTTAATAAGTATTTCTTACAACCTGAGATGAATTTAAGATTTCTAAGTACATATGCAATAGCTGCTCATTTATTCAATATATAGCTATAACTGACCCTGAATATACATGAGCAAACACTTAAATGTACAAAGCCAGAATTTCATCACTCTAGGGTAATGCGGCACGGAATTCAAAAGACAGTCTTTCACGTGGCATTTTCCCCAAGCGTATGAAATTGCTGTGCAGGTCTGCCAACTCATGCCTGTAATCTTAGCACCTTGGGAGGCTGATGTGGGTGCATCAGCTGAGTGCAGCTGATCAAGACCAGCCCGGCCAACATGGTGAAACCCTGTCTCTACTAAAAATACAAAAATCAGCCAGGCGTGGTGGAGCACAACTATAAGCCCAGCTACTTGGGAGGCTGAGGTAGGAGAATCGCTTAAACTGGGAAGTGGAGGTTACAGTAAGCCGAGATCATGGCACTGTAGTCCAGCCTGGGTGTCAGAGTGAGACTCTGTCTCAAAAAAAAAGAAAGAAAGAAAAAGAAAGTATACGAACTTGGCTTGCTAAATAGAAAAATTATTTTAATACATACACATTAAATTATATATGAATATATATAGAAGTAATCAAATTTATATTTAATATGTATTAAACATATTTTATATAATATATACATGTATAATATACATACAATGTGCACTCGCTATTTAATTTATATTTCAGTGTCTATATTCCTCAAAGGTTCTAAAGATGATTAATACACAATCACACTTGAAAAGTATAATTAGGACTTTTACATATTTTCTCTGTTTTGGGCCATTATTTGTGTTTAAGACTATCCTATTCAACACAGGATAGCTTTGTTGTTGCTTTCGTCACCCTTTTTTTCTG